AATGGGATTACATGTGAAACCGGCAACATATGTATTGTCTTTGCATTCAAAGCATTGCTTTTAAACAAAGCTGTTTGAGAAACACTGAGAATTTGGCCATGCATGAGGTTTGGCTAGGGTTGTAGTAACAAGGATTTAAGATTGTTCTTTGCATACCATGGTTTAATAAACTAAACAGAGACCCAGATTATTGATCCTGGAAGTGATTTGTAAAGTGTTGTCTCTGGTACTATATATGGTTATTTTATATCTGGTTTCCTGCCTTCATTAGAAATTTTAAGGACTTATAGGCTACAGAGAAAACTTAGAATAGTGCCAAGGATGAAACTCTATAGTTCTATGGAGAGTTTAGGTGGGCTGTAGTTTTTCTCGACAGTGGGAGTATCATATGCTGCATTGCTAATAATTTGTTAATCATTTGCTAGACTTAACTATTCCCATGCTCCCTTGTCAACTACCCATCTTCCATACTCGGTGAAGCTGGATGTACCTAATACTCTGCTGGAAAGTTCTAACTCACAGCAAGCTGTTTGCTGGTTACATGTTTGCTCATTAATCTAAATTGATTCCCAATCCAGCAAAAGCTTAACCTCCTTGAGTTGAAATCTCTCCATCCCTCACGCCTGCCTTTCTGGACTCAGAAGAATGGGCATGTGCACTTCTCTGAAAATAGTAGTGTTCGCATTCTGAGGTTTAGTGCCTCCCTGGCAATAATCCCATTACACAATTTGACCTTGATTAACTTACAACAATATTTCTACTAAACTATCTTATAGCCTGAAGACCATGTTCTAATGGAACAATGTATATACACAATTCAGCATAAGAATCTCTGAAAGAATCCCAAAATGAGCCAAGTTCAACAACTGCACTTTAAAGAGAGAATTTCTGTACAATAGATGTAAGACTATACACTTCAGACAAACTATTGAATGTGTCTTGTCCTTCAAGGGAACCAATCAGATATCTGGTTGACACTATCAGTTCTGATCTGTCTTTGACTTTCTAAAGAAGATGCTTGTCTGTCGTGTTGTGGGGAATAGACTTGGATTCAGAAGGATAAGCTTATTGGCTCAGGATTTTCTCTAGCTTTATTTGTAGCCCCAGAAAATGATGGCAAAAGCTCTTTATGGTTGCCTTCTGACAGTGGTATTTCTATTAGTCACCAGAGAAAAGTATGTTTTAAGTGAATCTAGGCTCTATCAAATGCAGGAGAGCCTCAATTATGTTACTGATGACGTTGAAGTTGATTAGGATTACCTTTCGTCTGTAAGGTTGCAAGATAAGTAGCTTTTTCTTCAATAGAATATTATCTCGTGTATTCAAGACAGATAAACCAACATAGTCTGTGGTGTAGTTTAGTCCCAATTTGAATGCAACTGCTGCTTTTTCAAAAGAATTACAAAGAAGACTTTCAGTTCCACACTAGATTTTAAAATTGGAGTGTAGTCAGCATATTAATATAGTGATACTGCCCTATATATTCTAAGAGTTTTTCTAGCCTTGCAAACATCTAAACCTGCTGGAAATTAGTTTTTAAATTAATCCTTCAAAATCTAATTTAAATAATTTAAATTGTCCTCTTTCAAAATTGGGCTGCTTTTGATGAATGATAGTTACCTTGCAGGTTTTTACATTTTTTTTCTGAGAGAAACTTTTTATTTGTTATTGAATCCTTGCTCAGAAATATTGCCTGTTATTAATATAAAGATTCAATTTGTAGATCAAAAATGTCTGTGTACAAAAAGAGTTGTCCTTGATAAAATAGCAGAATTCTAAATGAATGGTGACTGATGTCAGGTATTCTAGATTGTTTAAAGAAGTCACGTGGAAATAGCAGAAGATGCAACCACAGTATTGCAGGGGTTTGGCTAGGTGTCTCATTGAATGTGTTTGGAAAGTTACAACATAATGGTTGGAACATAGGATACAGTAGGCCATTCAGGATTGCTGGATTAATAAACCATGAAAGGTGACAAGTTGGCATGAAGCTGTAAATGGCCAATGCATCACATCTATGAAGTTAGCCTATCCTAACTGGACTGTGCTTTTCAAAGCATTGTGTCAGCCAGTTTCTCGACCTAGAGTCTGATCCAATTTTATCATGTGGGATTTATGTGGATAGTTTTTAATGTTAGTTATGCTAAACTCCGACTTCTGTGGTCAACCCAGTAACTACTGGATTTTCCAAGTCTTAAGTTAATAATTAACTTGTAGACATTCATTTTTATCATGCCTGTTGTAGAGAAATTTTCTCTTTTATAGCGCAGTTTTTGAAGCGTGGCTGTAGAATGAATGGTTTTTGGTACACTAATTGACTTTTGTTTATTTTTAGATTATTTGTGACGCAACATGGTTAAATAATGGGACCTTTAAAGGTTTTTTAGAAGGGTCTGAAATCTATTTTCTTTAAGCTTAAGAGAAACTACCATACCTGAGACAGAGAGACTTTTAATTTTATTTTTAACTTGGCGGTGTAGTGTTAGTCTCAAGAAGATCTTGGAATAGGATGGCTATAGAGGTAGTGCACCTGAGAAGGCTACAGTGAGTTCGTGTTGGAGTGAAGAGTTAGTGTTGGTTCCAGATTAAATACAAACACTGGTGTAGTTATTTAAGCAAACTACGGTAAAGCTCCAGTGTGTGACAGCTTCAGCAAGAAGCTATTGCAGTTTCAATTTACAAATTGAAGTCCCATATTAATTTAACATTATTCAGATATTAGGAATATTGGCGTGAGTACAATGAGTGCTGTTTTTGGTACGACATAGGCACAGACAATGAAACCAAACCAGCCCTTCTATCTCTATTTGCACCGTAGTAAAATTAAGACTTTTAAAGACTTTCAAAATTGATGGTTCCAAACCAGAGTTCTTGAAAACCAATCCCAGTCTCTTGAGTCATTAATTCCAGACACTGGTTTGTATCTGAAACAAAACACATAGCAATTTATTAACAATATAGTAACTTAAGAGCAAAATTTAAAAGAACCATTCTAATTGCTCTGTTCTATAAACACAAAATTTGTTGCTTTCAGCCCCTTTTGCACAAAAGACAGACAAATAAAAGAAAATAACAAAACTGGCCAGATTACCCAAGTGGTTTTCATGATGCATTGTTGCAGAAGAATAGATGATGGTTCCTTGGTTGATTTTTCTGAAGGTGTCAATCTGGGTTATCTTTACAGTTCATTCAGATAAAGGTAGTATTTATAACTTAGTTTTCTATTATCTGAGCTTTCACAAGCTGCTCATGGGAGGTTAGACAGGGAGTTTTCAAATCTTCATGTTCTAGAATCAACAAAAGACTCTCTTTTTCACAGAAAATCTAGTCCTAAACCCAGTTCAAACTCCAGCCCTTCCCTGACAGACAAATTGTATCCTCTAAGGTCCCAGTTACTATTCTATATTTGCCAGTTACTTGAGCATGAAGTCTTTTCCAGATCTAATGAAACCAATTCCCAGATACTGACATCGTTAATGGCTAAATTTTACTCTCTATTAAACTTGATGCATTTCCCTGGTGATAAAGTTATCTGCGGAACTTTGGTTAGAAACCAACCTACAGTTAACTTCCCGGCCTGGCCTTAAGAATAAGCAAAAGCTTGTTTAGTCTGTTTTTCCTTCTAACACCAGCTGTAGGTAACAGTCCAAAAATTATCACAGCTCCAAACTGAAATTGATAAAGTAATAAACCAAAAATAATGAAAAATCAGCATGGGCTGTTTTGAGTCCTACACAAAAGTTGTTTTATTTCTTTTCCATTTTATAAAGAAGTATTTGGGGACTAAAGGGATTATGCTTTCACCAAGTGTGTAAAATTTTTGAATTTGTGTTGTAAGTAGATTGTTTAGATTATTTTTATCTATGTTCCTCTTGTAATAACTGTCCATCATTTTATTAAAGCAAAATCTGGAGCATTGCATGCTTATAGTGTAGTGAGAGACCGCTTTGTTAAAATCAACACAAGTTAAAAATACCCTATTAAGCCAGGTTCCTGACTAAGGTCTGACTTGCCCAGTGATAATATCTGCTGGGATCGTACTACATGGTACTAACCGTGGTAATGAAATTGACACTCAGTTTCTTTTCTCCATGTGCATTTTAGACCATAGTAGGACATGCTTGCCATGTAAGACTACTGTATTAAATGGGCAGATGTCTTACTGCTGACATTTCTCCAGTTAATTTTCCAAAGTCGTAGAAATTTTCTAGGCCCGGGAACTATTGATGCAATACATGTAGTTACGCGCAGAAGCTCAAATTGAATTTTTAAAAATTTAGGTTTCGTCCAATGAGCTGCCAGTTATGCAGGTCACAGTGTTTGTTTCATATGAGCACTTGTCAAAAGTGTTTTCCAGGCAAGCCATAAGATTTCTACTTGACAGGTATACTAAAAGATTACATGTGAGTGGCAAGAACTGATTAGACCTCATGCAAATAACTTTTCTTGACTAAGCTATAACTGTCATCTACTTTCAAAATTTCCAGTTGTCCTCAGCATCTGTCTGTCTGTGTAACAGCTTTGAAATATTTTCCTTAATGATGGTCCAAAATGTCTTTTTTCGGGGAACAGTGTGGAGAATGGTGTCTTTTCATTGTAGCATTTACTTGTGTGATGTGTGTGCGGTCTTGGAGGAAGTGTGATGCAGTTTGTTTGCTATTATAAATACAGCTCAAGTGACTTCATCATAGGGGCTTATTGCAGCTCCTGGATTGAATCAATTATGACAGACTTCCAGATTTTCTGTAAATCAGAGGATACGTGTTTGCAGGGTAAGAGAGAATGTGCTTTGTGGGCGTTTCTGGTGAAAAATGGAAGGAAAAGAATATTAGGATAGAAGGGCAGGTAGCAGTGGTATACTCAATAGGAAATATTGAGCGTTATTTTTTTTTATCTTGCTTCCCTCTCCCTGCCCTGCATACTTTTGCTAACTCTAGGAAATATAGATATCTGTGGCCATTTGCGATTAGTGAATACTTTTTACTTTTGTATTTACATAGTTGAGCGTGGCCCAAAGAAGAGACAAGTGAAAACACTAGCAACATCTCTCTTGGAAGCTCTAGATTATGACAGCTCAGATGACAGTGATTTTGAAGTCGGAGATGCTTCAGGTGAGTACTTTGTATTTATTTGTTGAGTTTATTTTTTTCTGTGCCCATCTGAAATTGTGGGCTTCCTTATTGGGACACTGTTTCATTGGTGGTGTGTACTTGGTGAGTTTCTCACATTATATAAACTCAGGACAATGAAGCTTGCAGTTTTTTTGTGCGCTAGGGCTGAACCTACCGTTATGCAGTCACCATTTCACATACAAATTTATTTCCAAATTGAACTGCTAGATGACAGTAAGGTGTGAGAGTTTAAATGTATTTCTTGCATTACCCTTAATGAAAGCGGCTAACTTTGAACTTTAATCTTTGACTTGAGAAATTGAATCTGACTTTCTGATCTATAATGAACCTGCTATACATTGAATAAACCACTGAGAAAGAAAATGCTACACACCAAACTATAGATTGTAGTGCGAGTATAGTGAGGATGGTAGGAAATTGTGCAACGATGGAATATTCAGCTGGCCCATCAGCATTTGGGAAGAGAAAAGACAGATTCTGATTTTAAGTCTGGATTAGTTTCTTCAGAAAATCTTCAACAAATATCCAAATCTTTACTTTTAGTTTAAGACCTGATAAGTGACTGACTTTTCTGTATAGCAGGCCTTATGTTGGGTAGCTTTGTTGAGTGAAGCTACGTCCATAACTTCAACAGTGTTGCTCATTCTCCCATTTTGGTGCAAATGCTGTTCTTTCACCACTGATCGAATAATAGTATCCCTTTTTCTGTGGCTATTATTAGCTTAAAGTGGCATGGAATACAACAGATGAGCTTCAGTTTGACATTTTAAAACATTTGTTTGAAATTGTGTGATATGTAATAGAGGGCTTTCTTCCTTCCCAAAATTTCAACTGTAAACTGACTTATAAGTTTGTTCGTGAATTATGTTGATGTGTTCAGGTGATTTATACTGTTATATTACATTATCCTCTGTCACCACTGTAAATAGTGTAAAGACCTTTTAAATTTGGTGTGCATAGAAGGCACCTCTCTGATTAATGGAGTGTGATGACTTTGTACTGCTAGATATACACACATGCCATAGTTTCTCCCCTTTCTTTGCGTTCTATTGTGGTGATTACTAATCCATCCGCAGGGTTTTAATAGGATCTACCCTGGTGGGCCATCCTACATTGATACTAAACTAGATTTATAAAATTTGGAAAAGCTGATCAAACACACAATTCTCAATATATCTTTGGATAAAGATTTTCTAATAACATCAAATATGTGTTAATCTTCTTGGCTAATTATACTAAGTAAAGTCAATATTGCTTTTCTAACAGATTCTGATGGGAGTGGAGAGAGTGCTGGTAAGGACAGTGAAGAAGCCTCCGAGAGTGAAGGTGGACAAAATGGCAGTGAAGAGGACTCTGAACAGGAGAAAAAGGATACTTCTGATGGAAAAATAGAAGTTGAATGCAAGAACGATCAGCCAGAAGAACCTGATTGTGATATCAAAGAACAAACTGAAAACAAAACTAGTAAGAAGAAAACTAAGGAAACAGTGGATGATCCTGGGCCAGATGAATCAAATGATGGACAAAAGAAATGGAATTTACGTAAAAAGAGAACAATGTTGGATATGATATCGGTGGAAGAGTTGAATGGTTTTGATGATTATGATAGTGAAGATGATAATGACTGGCGACCTTGTAGTGGAAAGAAAAAAGGGAAAGGTGTAAATAATGATGATGGTGATGAGGGTGGTGGTGAGGATGATGATATCAGTGACAGTGAAGATGGCAATCCTGATGATGAGGAAGACACCAGCAGTGCCAGTGAAGATGATAAGAGAATTAGAAGAAAAAATAGATCTTCTAGTCAAAAAGCTGCCAAGACTGAAGGAACAAGTGATGGCTTTGTTTTGACACAGAATAAGAATTATGAGGTACAGTAGTTAATCAGTTACGTTTAAGCATAAGCAGGGAGAATTTGACTAGATGTCTTATGAGTAAAATTGCTCCCAAATTTTGAGTTTTGATTAAAAACTAAAAATACATTGTTCAAAATATAAATCTGTATCAGCTCTAAGGAGACTATTTAAACATGTTGAAGGAAACCAGCTGATGGAAATGAAAATGCTTTTAAAGTATTAATAATTCTTTTACACTTTGAGGAATACAGAAATGTGATGTATATCAGATATGGTTTGAGGCCAATGGGATGCAAGTCATTACTCACAACTGCTATTACTGCTGGTCAGATACTCTTCACAAGTCAATCTTCCCATGATCTCAAATAATTTTTAAGGCATTTTTTCAAAATAAACTGAGTTGTAGACAATTGTTAACATTATTTAAGAAGAAATAGAACAAGTGAAAGGAACAAAGCTATTTTTAAGCACAAAATTAAGAAAGAAAAATTGATGTTGATGGAAGTCACTTTTAATCATTTAGCTAGAAATCTGATACAGGTCTGAAGTAGAGCACCAGAGCTGACAGATGTGATTTGCCAAATTCTGATCCCACTTGCCTTCTGTTTTCCAAGTGTCGAGGCGTAAATTGTTGATTCATTACATTCTAGATTTATGGTGCAATTTATGATGCAATAACCTACCTTGCGATAGTTTTCTTCCTAAACACATCAATTAAAACTTGATATTGGCAAATTACAAATCAGTAATTGCTATCGCTTTATAACCTGTGAACCTCAACACGATTCGCAATGCATGTAAACCAAAAGTTGCCATTTATTCATGATGTAAATAAGCGGTTGCAGTCACTCCTGAACAGCCAAAGAACTGAATTTGTGTGATTGAAGGTTTCACCAACTTCTTTTTGTTTTGGAAAAGGTGCCAAGTTTCACTTTCAGAAGGACTGGGACTGACTTAGACAAAGGGGTTTCTTATTGTAGGCTATTAATCCGAGCTGATGTTATTACTGGGCAAGTCAGATCCCAGATTAAAGCCTGGCTTGATAGTTGTTTTCTGTTATGAAGAAGCCACCTTTCACTGAAAAACGCAAAAAAATGTGCTACACAGTTGTATTTAACAATGAAATAAAGTTAATTATGCATAAGAAATGAAAATAAACCAGAACAAACCAAACTGTTTACATATAACACACACTTAAAAATTTCATAACATTGGTAAAGTCCCAAAATTTTTCCAAGAAAATCAGAAGACTGTGGTCTGTATAAATAACAATTTCTTCCTTGTTGCTGCTGATGTATATTTCAAAACTACGTTGAGCCAAAACAAGACTCGATGTCTCCACTGAATAATATTTTTCCTCCGGTCAGTTTCTTTGAAAAATAACTAGCAAGCTGTTCAATCCCCATGTTGTCATTTTGCAGTTGAACAGCCTCCAAACCAATGTTGTCAGCATAAAAAAAAGTTTGAACGGCCTCTCATAATTAGGTGCAGCTAAAACTGGTGCATTTGTCAATTGAACTTGCAAGTTTTCCAAGGCACTTTGATACTTGTACTATTCAGGTTTGCTGCCTTTTTTTAAGCAATTCTGTTAACGGTGCAAAGGTAGTGCTGAAGTTTGGAAAATTTCATGTTTTGACCTCGGCAAGGGAAAATACAAAATAGCCTGTACTTTCATTTCTCTAGGTAATACTTGGCCCAGTCCCACAGGGTAGCCTAGATAAATCACTCTTACCTTAGCAAGTTCACAATTAGCCAGATGTATAACCAAATTAGCATTTTGTAGTCGAACAAACAGTTCTGCCCAGGTTTGTCAAGAAGAACCAAAGCATTGATGTAAACAACAGTTACATAGTCCTTCAATGACTTTATTTATTACTTGTTGAAACTTTGGCACATTTTTCATTCCAAGCAGCATTACTTTACTTTGCTAAAGTCTATCTAGTGTTACAAAAAAAACTGTATTTCTTTGGCTCTATAAGACAATGGAACCTGCTAGTATCCTTTTTGTTCAGTCTATTTTTGTGACCATTCATGCATGTCAATTTCATTCAATGCAATCCTCCAGTCTCTGAATAATGTGAGTCCACTTCTGCTACCAAGCTGACTTTGTTATAATTGAACAGAATCTTTGAGTTAACAGTCTGAGCACCATGAACTCCAGCTACTGTGACTTATTTCAATAATGTCATTACCTTATCATGAATTAGTTTTTATCTTGACCTGAGCTAATCTCTCTGGATTGAGTCAGTGATGTTGTTTTGTAGCTAATTCATTTCCCACATAAATAGCATGAACAAATTACAATCGATGTATCCAGTATCTCTGCAGCTACCTCTTTTAGCATTCTAGGATGCAAGTCATCAGGGGCGGGGAACTTGTCTGCATTTAGCCCCATTAGTTGGTCTAATACTACTTTTCTAGTGATCGTGATGTTACTTCCTGATGGCTCCTTTTCAGAAGATTGCTTAAACAATCCTACCACTGTAATTGGTCTCCCATTTAATTTCCAGCATTGGCTTTAGTATGTTTAGACATCTTATCATGGAAGCATGTTGCTTTCTTTCTATTACTTTTTGGTTCCAATTTGCTGCCCTATGTACTTTCTAAAACTAGTATCTCTTACATCATTCTTCACTCTAAGATGCCCCAAACTGAAAATAAATAAGTGCTTTTTCTAAGCTATGGTGTTTCTCCTTGGCCTCCCAAAGACTGTGGAATCTTCTATGCGAAAGTCCATTGTGCTGCATGGCTCACTGTTTACTTGTGAACTTTCCCAGTATAAACACTTTCCCTTTAGTGTCCCCAAATTATCTCAGAATATTTTTAAAACTGAAATCACAATGGCCATAGAAATACTCACCAGTTCATTAAACTGTTTCAGATACACAAACACTGTATGTCACTAGTTCAAAATTCAAAAACCAAAAACAATTGGTATTAAAAAATATAAAAATCAGATACGTTACATACAGATAAATGAATGAAAATACATAAATGAATTGTAATATTTGTTTATCACAAATATTAACAAAACTCATCAGTTCTTCTGATTTAATATTGATACAACAATACTGTGATTCTACAGTGATTTATTTAAGAGCTTGCCTAGCCACTGTTTTCATGACACTAGTTCAAGCGGTAAACAAAAAATAAATGTGCATGCACCTATACTGCAGTGCACTGCACACTCTGTTGAATCATCTCGAGAGAGTAATTTGAAAGCATTCAGAAGCATAATGACCTGCATACTCAGCATTTCACCTGCATAATGGTCAAACTATTGACATTCACCATCATATCTGAATTTTTGGAATGCACTCATCCATGCATTAGTTAAGCATAGATGTCAGTGTGGACTATCAAAATTGTCCAAAATAGTTTTTAAAAAAAATACTTTTTAAAGGTTTTTAAAAATAAATATTTCAAACTTTTGCATTAATCTTGTGTATGCCTGAAGTATTTAATCAGCTTTTTGTAAAATATTAATTAAAAGTGAAAAATGCAGTGGTTAAAACAGCTGTTATATCTCTACATTTCACATAATTATGTATGTACTGTAAACAAGATAAACCTGTTCAGCTATGAGCATTATGACTTCAGTGTTTAACTAAGGGCTTAATTACTTGAACTTGCTTTTAAGGCTAATTACGTGAAGGCATGAAAAACAAAATGAAACCTAAATGACTTGTAATCTAGTCTTAATTAAATTTCCTGTTTTAATTGTAATCACCAGGTGAAAAGCTGTGAACTGGCTCCCCACTTTCTTCCTCGATTGATCACAACAAAGGTTCAGGTTGCTTTGGAGATAGTAGGAACTGCAGATGCTGGAGAATCCGAGACAACAAGGTGCAGAGCTGGACGAACACAGCAGGTCAAGCAGCATCA